AACAATCTCAAAACCATGTCAGCCTATAGTAAATTACAGCCATACTGGCTATCACATCAAAATCCTCTAGGAATTTTTGCCACAGATGCTTGCCAGATGCTGCAGCAGTTTCCAGCTGTTTCCCCACTTTTGGATGTACCACACAAAACTGGAAACCTCATCAGCTGATGGATAAACTTATGAAGGATAAAATGGAGTAGGAGCTACTTAGTAGGAACAGACATAATTTCATCTAAGACGATGCTGGCTGAAGACACAGATGCCAGCTGTTTATCAGCTGGCTTTATACTGACGGTTCATTTTCCTTTAACATGCTCTGTACTTGTACTTCCCCATCTTCCTTCAGTCTTCTGACTTGCTAGACCAGAAGAAGGGGTATAAGAGAGCCATGAATATATAAATGTATCATTTTCTTATAATTGAACTTCTTTCTGGCAAGAAGTCACATGAAAATCAAGATAAGAGATCCCACAGCTCTCTACTACCCCCACAAAAAGAACGACCTGGAAGGGGCCGTATCTAAACATCTAAAATGCCAAATAAACACCAGGTATTCTTTGTATTCAAAAACCACATGTGAGTTCCTATAGATCCTCCAAAGTAAAGTATTCAAAGTCATTCATGGAAGCCTTAATACCAAGAATCCATGTGGCAGTGATTCATTTGTAAATACATGCAATCTATGTATAGCCAACACTATAGATCAGTGATAGTCAAACCTGAGAAGTTTGGTTCTTGAATGGACTGAGAGGGAGGGACATAATCACCATGATGTGGTAACCAGATTCTGTGCTGTGATATGCTGTTTTTGATGCATTGTCATCATTGTTGCATATTGATGGTAAACTGTGAGAAGATGCTTTAGTGAAGTGTGAGATCATCACACCATGATTAGTTTGTAGAACTCCGCAATTGTGTTTTCTTCCTGACTGCTGGTGAGAGGAGTTGCTTTCCATCTCTCCATCTTTTTGCTTCTCTCTTTGACTACATCAAAGATTAAAGACCAATCTCTAGTTCTTTTAAGTATTGGCTAAGCCTTTCTGTTTGCTGAGCAAAAAGGCTCTGATTAAACTTACAGATTCCTCCAGAACTCACATGTGATGTTTCAAGGAACTCAAGTTGAGCATTGTGGAGCTATGTTATGCATTAGATTTTTTTCTGTCTTCTGAAAAAAAATGGCCTGTGTTTCACTGAGTGACATGGTACTGTGTCCTAGTTTTTATGCTGAGAAAGATTTAGTGTGTAACTGTCTAGTGTATATTCCACAAAAACTCCAAAGAATATCTGAAGGGCTTTTCTTTTGTAGCTTTCACCAAAGATGAGATTTTTTAGCATTTGATGCATGTGGCTTGTGGTTCTCTTTGGGGAGCAGAGGGGACAGTTTGGAGAGGAAGGAGATCATCGTTCTGTTGTGCATGTGATAGAGCCAACAGTGCTACTGTCAAATAATCACAGTTCCTAAGCTAATCACAATGGAGACCTGTCCCCTCCAGAGGACAGAGGAGGGATTTACCTGCCTGCTCTATGCTCATTAGCAACTACACCAAGATGATTCATCTGTGTATGATGGTACTTGGAAGCAGAAGACTTCTGTACCCTCCTTAAAATGTGACCTTTTTGCAGATCCTTTAATTTTCTTCCCTTCTCAACTCCTGCCCATGGAGGTACTCTTCCCTTTTCCCTTCTATTGCCTTTGTAGCTGTTTTGCTTCTCCCAATGCATGTCAAGTGTTTTGGGCCTGCAGCCCTAATGGGTGGGGGCTAAGACTTGGATCTACCCCTGAGACAGAGTGGAGCCAGCAAAGACGAGTTATTTTAAATTGTGTGGTGACAAGCCTTTTTTCCCCCTCCCTTTTTGTTCCCAGAGGATAGCTGGGGAAGTTTGTTGTGCCAAATACTTGGAATGTGGTTTTTCTCCTCTTCCTCCCCCTTCAAAACAGAAAGAGAAAACTTTATGCTGTGAATTGTCTTAATTGGGGAACATAAATCCAAACTGTAGTGCAGCATTGCTGGGCCTAGACACCTATTGAAGTTTAATGAAGGAAGAGCAGCTTTCTCTTGCCCTCCTCTCTCATGCTCTCCCCACATCAAACTCTTTCTTGTGGTGCCATCCTGTTCAGATGGGAGCATGGGAATGCCTGTGAGAGTGTGTGCGTTTGTCCAAAGTTCTCACGGGTCTGAATGCAATATGTGACTCCTTTAAAATAATGCAGTCAGAGTGATGCATGGACATTCTCCCAGGCTGAAGTTAGTTGTGTAGCCAGTATAGGAAAAAGAAACACAGACTCCTCAGGGTATCTATGCAAAGTGGCTCTAAGCCTGTTTGAGGGAAATCCATGCTGGAACAGAGATTTGATGGTTCATGTGCCCTGACCATATGTTTCGGACTGATGACAGGGTCCCATATCAAATGTTATATGACTTTTTATTCCTTGTGTCAAGAACCGATATTTTCTCAGGACTTGATAATAAAGTATTTCCTTATCACTACTGACTGACTGAAGAGATGTCTCATTACATCCAGAATAGAAAATAAGAATCCTTCTCCTTGTCCCAGCTGTGGTAATGGGAATAAATTGGTGCCCATCAGCTTGTATTGGATGTAATGGAGTCTCTTACACAAAAAGCCAACCTGAGAGGACCTTGATCAGAGCATGAATGGGAGTATAATTACACTGAGTGTAATGACATATACTTTAGCAAAGATGGACAAATTCATCTGAAATGGCTTTGGAGAGAATGCCAAAAGCAAAAGCTTCCATTTGGCACTGATGTTTCGAGGAGAAAAGCAATTCACATAGTGGTAGAAAGGTAGATTGGGACAGTAACAGGACGAGAGTTTAATTAGAGGGTCCTGCAACTCCCAACATTTATTAAAGCCAATGCTGACTGGCTCTGAGATCTGCTGCAGTAAAATAATAAAACTTGCTCTCAGGTGGAAATGCTTCTTATGGTGGTGCAAGACCACTGTTCATCTTCAGTTCTGGATAATATAACGTTCCTACAGGAGATATTTTAACCTGCTAGTAATATTTTACTGCTTTTGCCTGCAAGCTCATCCATGCTTGTGTAACATTAAGCATTAAAACTCTTACTTTTATCAAATTCACCAACCAGTTTTATCAACTGCTGCTGATGCAGCAATGGAAGTCTGGGAAGAACTGCTTGCTTTTGCTTTGAGAGATGGGATGAAAGGTTAGAGGGGGTGGATGGTGATTGCATGAGCAATGCAGGTCAGGTTACTGTTGGATTCCTCTTGCAAGATAAGTGAGAGCCCTCTGAAAGGTAATTATTGGAAAGCATAAATTCCTGAGATAACCTGTCCAAGAAGAAATAGTGACAGGAGCAGAGGCCATGTGTTAAAGGCTAGCCATTACTCCAGGGCAATGGGCTAACCTCTCTCTCTCTCTTTTTCTGCAACCTCTCCTTGCTCTGACAGTTGACTCCCTCAGTTCTTTTCCTTCAGTTACTTGTCAATCTTTTTCTCATCCTGTTTATAGACCACTGTGATAGTTGTCTCCATTCTGTACTAATTAGAGTGCAGACAAGTGGAGATTCAGTATGCACTTTAGTTCCATGTCCAAATTCTCGTTTAGTCGTTGTCTGTGCTTGTCATTGTCATTGGCATTGCCACTGCAGTGTTCAGGTAGCTTTTACAGGATATATGTAAAGAAAAAAGGTTACTCTTGTATTTCTTTAACTGATTTTTCTATAGAAGAAGTTCAACGAGCTTTCAGAATGACATGGAGTCAGCATTGTCTCTGAATCAAGAAAATTGCTAGATGGCAGTTGGGGAAGGAAGTCTTGCAGAGTGAGAAAACAGATTTCAGAAGAAAAGATGGAGCAAAACTGGGAAATAAGAAAAGTGACTTCTCTTCCTCTATGGCTTCGTTATGCAAACTCTCTGTGTCTCATCTGTAATACAGAGATAATGATATCTACCCAGCTCCTATTTTAAGCAGTTGATTGATTAATGACTGTCTCCTGATCCCTAGATTACACTTTTGTGACCTGCAGCTTTAACTACTGCAGTGTATTACATCCCAGAAAGAAAATGGAAGCAATGTGTTAGCTCTGGCTAGTTCCAGCTGGGAAAACATGATAAACTGACCTGAACAGCCTTGCCCACGTGTACCTGCTTCTGAGACCTCATTCCAAAAGTGCACTGAAGCATGGTCTGTCTGTTCAGCTGCCATCTCTGTTCAGCAAGACATTCAAATATCTGCCTAATTTTGAATTGAAGGAGACCTGCCCACTCAATAATGTGCTGTGCTGAACTGGGACCTGATGCTTGGTCACAGGCAGGGTTTCATCATGAGTGTTTGAAGACCTCAGTGAACACATAGGGCTAAAGATACATCCAAAGTCTGCCCTAGCATGATGGGGGTATGCATTAAACAACTGGAGTCTTTCAGAATAGTGAAACTTGTCAAAAGAGTAAGCTGCTTGAGCAGAAGAAAGGATCTTTATTTTGCAGTGAAAATTGCAGCAACACACTTTTGTAAACTTTGCTAATTGTTAAGTGAATTACAAGGTTTTTCTGTTTCCTTTAACTGTTCTACAGTAATAGCCACCTCAATCTGATACTTGAATTAAGGTGGTGCTGTGAACAGGAAGCAAGCCAGAAGAAAAACAGGTGCAAGGAATGTCAATATGTAGGGGAACAACCATCAGATATTTGAGTTTTTGAAAGCAAGTTTTGGCAAGCATTTTTTCTTGACTTTATTAAGGAGTTCCTCTTATGTGCTTCCTAAGTAACTACAGAAACAAGGGCACAGGTGTTTGAAACATCACTCCTCAGAGTTAAATGTGAATATTTGCAATGAGAGTTTGCTCTGTTCCCATGGGATGTGTTCCAGTTGCAGAAGATCCTGTGCCTAGACCTTCAAGTTAATTCCAGTTTGATCTCAATACAGGGCACTCTTTATGCTGAGGAAGCTGTGAGATGATGTGTTGGATGCATGTTTCACCTCTTCTGACTCTTATTGTTCCTTTTTTGAGGATTGATAACATTGCCTCAGCAGAGGAATGCCCATAATCTGCCCTACTTCCATTTGTGGGTAGAGCTGGAGGAAGGAGGTGAGAAAAGGAAATCTAACTCACAGTCCTCTTGGGAATTCCCCTATGTGGTGTGAGTCAAGTATGTCCCTGCTGTACATCTGCTGAGGTCAGTAGATTTATACAAGTAACAGAATGATTGTTCCTATGTATTCAAGAGAAGTAATAACTCAAAGAAACACAATCTTATTTATCTAGGCTTGAGATGACTTTGTAAAGAACAGAAAATATGTTATCCTGTTGTGTTTTCTGGGGTTGATAATTACTGACTGGGTAGAGCAGATTTTTGCGTTTTCTTACATGTGTATTCTGTTTGTTATATGTATTGTGACTGAGGAACTGAAAGTACTACCCATTCAAGATTAGTAACTTTATCTTTAAAGTATTGGCTCTAGCTGATTTTTTTTCCAAAGCTGACCTCAGAGGCAAAGTAAACTCTAATAATTATGTGGTTTTATGTTAGATCTATATAAATCTCTACTTTGCTACTTGTGTGATCATTTTCACCTGAGCAAAATGGATTGCTTCCTGTAGTGGGATTTCCTTTGCAGCAGGAGAAACCAGGTTCCTACAAAAGAGAAAAGTCAGCAGAAAAATGTGAGCTCACTAACTCTTTCTAGCCAAAGGACAGGAAGTACCTAAAATTTTAATGCAATTACAGTTTGGTTTGGTGGGGAAGCTTGCCTGCCATTTAAGAATATTTGTACTACTTTTCTACTTGCATGTTTATTTTAATCTCCTTTAAGTTGTGCCATCTGGATTGAATGACACTATATATTTTTCTACTATGTAACTGCACAAGGTGCAGGGGAAATCCCAGCCAGAGAACTTCCAAGAGGGCTGGCTAACAAAGGTCATTCAGACCAGGACTGTGCTGTAGAGCTTGGACTGTTGTGACTCTGACACGGCTTAAAGAATTCAAAACCTCCGTGGTCTTTCCTGGCATCTTGCTGCCTGTTGAGCTCTGATGGAGATACATGGCTTCATGAAAGATGAGATGCTTAGAGACACATGAAAAGGAATGCTCTCGTCAACTTAGCTGATGTGATTTGGGTGAATGATGTAAAAGTGGTGGTAGGGAAAAACTTCCATTTGCATACACTGTGTCTCCCAAGAAGGCTGTGCTGACTGAGTGACCTAGCTGTCACCACTGATGGTGTGAACAGACTTTGCCCAATTGCAAACAAACAAATGTGCTATTTGAAGACTAACCCAAGCTGGTTGTAGTGCTGGACACTACCTCTGGTGGCAGAAGGGGTTTTGTGAGCTCGCTGTCATCTCCTCCGGGCAATGTCTTCTGGGGTTGCTCAAACAGATCAAATGGCCTTGCCTGAACTGAATCAGGGAGCACTCACGCAAGTATTGCTACTGGCAGGAGGTGCGGGAGCAGTAAGCTGTAGGAGACAAGCAGTGAAAAGCAGCAGGGTAGGAGGGGAATGGGTGATATTTTTAGCTAGCACAGCTAGAGCCAGGAGAGGATTTCTGTTCATTATCTGAGCATCTTTTTAGTACAGACAGTGCTTGAAGTAATGCACACGATTTATTAGTGAGTAAATGTAGGGTCTTCCTGTGTTCTGCAGGGGAACTGTTAAAGCTACAAAGGAAGTCACGGCAGAATAATTTGTAGAACTCTGGTTTGCTGTCTTCCTGGTGCTTGGGTGATAGATTATGGTTTTTACTAGGAATGCAAAAGACAGGTCCACTATGGGAAATCAGAACCGTGGGAGCTGAATGGATAGACTTTGTCTTTGACTACATCTGGCCCCTAAGACTATGGTTGCACTAAGCCAAACAGAATTCTGGTGACCCCAAGCCCTAGCAGCTTGAGTTGCTTCTTTAAAAATATATATAAAAAATCCCTTGGATGTTGTCACGTCCAATCTAATACTGTTGCTGAAGTTTTCATTAGTTCATTCCTTTAGTAATTGGAGAGAATTTCTGACCTTTTGGGGGAGGTTAGGACCAAGCTGAATTTTGACTACTGTCTTCAGATACAAAAAACCTCCTGGTTATTACCTTTCACACCTGTTGTTCATTTAATTGGATGCAGCTGCATCTCTTTAAAACAGAAACCCTGGCCTGGGAAAGGATAGATGCTCTGAGATATCCCCAAGGAATCTGCCTCTGAGATTAACCTAATTGGTCACTGCGCTGAGTCTAATAGAGATTATATGCAATGCCCATCCCTGGAAACACCTTAGGTAGCCTGGTGTATGGCACGGAAACTGCTGCTGATACCTCACAGTGGGAATGAAAGAGAAGTAAGAGGAGATGTGGACAAATTGCCACGTGCGCCATATTATGATTGTTCAAAGTCCAGTATATTTGAATGCGGCCACTAACTTAATCTTCTGAAATACCCAATTTCATAAGCACACATCATCTTGTACCTGTTGTATCTAGCCAGCAACTCTGCATGTTAACAGCTGAATGAGATGGGCACTGTGATCCTACTCTTTTGGCTTTAAGAGCTGGGAATGTTGCTGTAGACCTTGACTGGGGCCATGCACAGCTGCAGGAAGAGGAGCACCTCCAGCTCCGGTCCTTCTTCCTGCACAAAACGGCAGCAGATCTTGATCCTGAAAGCTAGATTTTTGTTGACAAAATGCCATCATGTACCACACTCTTCTTGGCAGTATTAACTTGTGCTGCTGTTTCTTTTCTTTAAATGGAAAGGCCAGCAGAGCTTTTATACTTCTACAATACCTGTGAGGATGGGCTAATCAGATTGATTTTCTTCAGAGTTTAAGTTAAGCCTACCTTTTATAATTTTTCTTGAAAGACAGACTTTTTGCATGAGATGACACCTGTAGTTTCACACTGGATTAAATTACAGCCTAAGTCTGTTTTCAGAGTAGTGAATGTAGCTCACTCTGCGAGGCTGTGTTCTCTGCTATGAATCAGCATCACACCATGATTCAAGCAATGTCAATTCTGGACACAAATACTCATCAGGGATTTCCGACCCATCAGGTGAAATCTGCTGATAAATATCTGGCCAAAGGGGATTCCTTTGCCCTTCTGTATAAGAGATGGGCTAATGCTGGGTGGTTGGAGGAGGGTGCTGAAAAACGTCACATTGCTTTTATACTGATCTGGGATGCAACCTAGACTCATGGCTCAGGTCACCTTCTTGACTGCTGTAATGTCTGAGCTGTGCCAGTGCTGATTCAGGAACTTGTCATCAGCTCTCTGATGGCTTCTAATCTCTTGCATCACATGCAGTTTATGCACCTACCACAGTACTTTGAACAAATGCTTGAAGTTTGTCTATTTTGACTTGCCTGTATGAGTTCTTCCAATGAAAGGCATTAGGTCTCCTGGCAAGCCTTTTCTTCCATTTACCTTCTGATCACTGCTGCTCCAGTAACACTGTCTCTGCTTGCATCTGTGTACTACTTTGCGTTCAGATTTGTGTAGTCTACCTACTACTGAAACAGTCCTGCTAGCCATTTTTTATTCTGACTCCCAGGCTTGTTGTCCATCAGTTGAAATTATTCAATATGTATAGAAATGAAATAGCTGCCTCAAGCTGGCTCTTAGAGAGTCTAGGATAGGCATGTGTTTGTGAGCCTTTAGAAAGCTGCCAAGTTTATGTTAAAAAACTGAAAGCCCAGAAAGTTTGAGTCATTCTGCAGCACATCTGGAAATCCTGTTTTGCCTTTGCTTATGCTCACACCCCTTACATCATTAGAAAATGTTGTGCAGGGACAGATGCAACTGACCACTATGAGAAAACTGAATCTGCACATTCCTGCACTTTCTGGCTTGCCATTGGAGCTTGTGGTAGGATTTTGAACAATTTGTTACGCTTCACTTAACATCAGGAAAGCCATTCTGTATTTTTCTTGAGTCTCTATGTCCTACCTTTCTGCAGTTGCAAAGGGTGCATGCTTGTAGCATTTAGGAACTGCTTAAAGACTAGAAATTCCGGAGAGTACAGCCAAAGGAGGCGCCCAGCCAGGCCTTTGCTGTTTAATGCTTAATAGTGATCTGACACTCTTGAATGTGTCATATTTTCTTTTGCTTGGATCTTTTGATGAATGTTGTGTTAGCATCTTGCAATGTAATGTGAGGAGGAGCAGAGCAGAATGCTTTATCTCTTCTGGGACAATACTCTGGAGCTGGGGGTTTGCTGTCCAAAGATGCTGCAAGATTCTGGTGATACTGGGCTCTGTTAAGCACAGGTTTCCAGTTCCATCTGGGTCTAGAAAGGAGAAGCATATGTTCAAGCAGCGTGAAAGCTTGAACTTAGTTCACTGTGCCCTTCATGAAAATCAATGGTGTTTCAGAGTCTATGAGGAAAAGGCATGAGGAAAGGTGGGGGGCTATGGACTTCTTTGGCTTGTGTTGTGATAGAGTGAGTACAACAGTTTTGCAACTTGCTCTGTCTTCGTTGCTTATCTAGGCTAAGGTAGAGAGTGAGAGCAGGCCAGCCCAGATGGGAGAAACACACATGAGCATGGCCAGGCCACAGCTTGAGAAGAGAATTATGTTGACTGGAGAGGAAGGGCCTTTTGCCGATTGTGTCTATTAGATTTCCCACATTAATGTCTGTCTTTGGATCTTTAACAACATTAGTGCATGTAATGTTTCCCACTTCCAGCCAGCCTCACTCTGATCTCTTCTTACTTTAGCCTTTGCCAGGCATGCTGCCCTTGCTTTCAACACTGAGAGATTTGGGAGAGTACTGTGGGCATGAGTGGGAAAAGGACACATAAAGCTTTGTCTCATCAATGTAGTGGCTGGCATTGCTGCCCGTATACTTTATCATATTCCCTGGAAGTTTTGCATAGATATTAAATAGAAATGGTTGAAGAATTGAGTCCGTGGCATTCTTCATGTCATGGCTCATGGAGAGAAGGAGGAGACGCCTGTCAGGGACCTCCTGGGACCTGCCGGAAAGGAGTGAGTTTAGCCAGCTCAGTGCAGTTCTCTCAACACTTGCCAAGACATAGGGTTGGCCAAGCTGGTCCGCAGTGTTGCAGGCAGCTGATACCTCAGGTAGCACCTGCATGGTTTCTTAGTTTCTGTTCAACTTTGTGAGAAGGCCTGAGAGCCCACTGATGCTTCATTTTCAGACTCGTTCATGAATTCTCCAAAAGGAGT